ATTTATAAAAAAAAAAACCAACAAAAAAAAACGCAATCCAGCTTTATACCACACTGTGTTCAAGGTCATTACTTTGTAAAACTATACTGATTGCACTACGCGACTTCCGTTCAGGTGGAGCTATTCCTCTTAAGGAAGGAAGTTACGATGGTCTCATACCTGACGATATGATCCAGGATGCAATATTACAGCCGCATCCAAATGCTTCAACGACAAAAATTCCAAACGCTGCGGTAACAACCCCTACCACAACCACTACAGGGTCAACATTAAGGTCTACAACAAGGTCAACAACAAGGTCAACAACAAGGTCAACAACAAGGTCAACAACAAGGTCTACAACAAGGTCAACAACACAGCTCACTTCACCAACAACAAGGCCGCTTACATCAACGACAACCAAGCCGACAACTAAGCCAGCAGCCGATGCAAGGAAGACAACAACGTCGTCTTCTTATAAACCAACTCTTCAGGTACCGTTTGGTATAACCCTTAGTAAAAAGGCTGGCTCAAGCACTGTTCCGTCTACGATCACCTTACATGACGAGCCTAACTGCCAGCAAGGGATGTTTTATGATAACAGTGAGTTACGAGGTGGCATGGACGCTGGCTTGTTCATAGACTTGGGGCGAGTGAAAGGCTCAACAAGTTGTTTGAAGTTGTGTTGTGAAATCGAGTCATGTGACCTGGTGTTCTTGAAGCGTGACAGCTGTTATGCCGTGGACTGTTACAATAACAAATTGTGCGAGCCCGTGCCAGTGGTGTCTTACAGAAGTGACATGCCCAGCGTTCATTACATTACCAGGAGTGGGAAGTCAGTTCTAGATGAAAGTAAGTACATTGTAGTGGAATGTATAAATTGCCCTTGTTAGCAAATATGTCTAAGAGAGGTGTAAGTTAAAAACAAGAACTGCAATGACTGCTGCGTTCAATAAGGTGTTTGTGTAATTGGTTAATTTTCATGGTAACGTAAACAAAATTTGATTTGTAGTGTTATTACAGCAAGTGCAATAATAATTTTAACCTATAATTAATAACAATTCACCGAAGTGGATTTGGCTAGGGGTGGATATTTACCGAGCTGCCAAGTGAGTAGTTATTTTAGTATATTAAAAAAAATTGAGATAATATACCAATAAAAATATTTTAACTCATTTACTCCTGCACCTATTACAATATTTCCGGGTGCAAATTGCGTGAGGTGCTCGGAGGTAAATAAAAAAGGATATTCGGAGTTTGACTTGCCAATTAGAGCGCACCTTCAAAGCTATCCAGCTATCAGCCGCTTGAGTCCCAGCTGACTACAAAAACAAAGTCGATCGTGTTGTTCAATGAATAGTGATCACTTTTGAATCAGTTGTTCTAGTGGCAAGCCGTCACGCTTCTTTGCTTTTTTTGTCTTTTTTTTTTGTATGTGTGTGTGTTCTCTATCTGTTGAGGTCTCGCTGTCTAAATTTTTGCGTTTAACCAAAGCTTTGCCATGACCCTTTGATCGTTCCACAGAGTTACGAAAGTTGGAGACTCGACCCAAACCTCCCGGAACTACCCAAATGCCGACCCTCCCACCAACACCTTACAGAACAACAGCAAGTGAAATATTTCTTCCATACAAGCAGATCTCCATGCGTCCAACTTACGCCCCGTCAATCACAAAACGTTTCTGTGCCCAAGGAATGTTCTTCTACAACGTGAAACTTCGAGACGGGTGGAACGCTGGGATGCTGCTTCAGATCTCTAGTGTACGGAGCATGGCAGAGTGCATTCAGGATTGTTGTGACGAACCAGCGTGCGATTTTGTGATGCTGAAGCAACGAAGGTGTTACAGTGTGCGATGTAAGGGAGGTGATACTTGTACGGTGGAAGAAGGAGGAGAATATCAGATCTCGTTTGTGAGTAGACAAGGTGAGATGTTGGACCAATTCCCTTGAAGACATCAAAAATTGCCTCTTAAGTGATTCGCTGTCTTTTATGATCTTCTTTATATTGTTGGGTTTACCAGATATATGGCATACGGCGTCTTTTTTAACTTTACGTTTTTCATATATTTTTGTTACCTTCACCTGATCATAGAATTTTCGTCTATTTAGTGGTACCTGAGCCTAAGTGGTATATTCGAAATATTTGTTTGTTTTTTTTTTACTGGGTCTTAGAAAATACAATTAAAACGAACACATACAGTACAACGTTTATACCACCTAAAGCTAATAGCATCGTTGTGCTTTTTCCTGACACAGATATGGTCGAAGACGAGACACAGTCTACACCGACCCCCACACCGTTACCCCTGAATCCTCTGGGCGGAAAAATGGACGAGTTGTCAGTTAGCCATGTTCGTTATCTGTCATTGTACCTTGGCTTTGATCATGTAATTGGTTCTGTGGCGGTAGATGGATCGGGCTTAAACAATGACGCGAGATTAACGAGAGGTAATGAAACATTAGAACAGTATTTCAAAGAAATAGCTAGTTCTTGACGAGAAACTGATGACTTTTACTTTTCGGTATATAGTTTCCTCTCGATATGAGGTACGTCTGGAATGTTTCTTTTTCTCCTTAAATTTTATTTTTTTTTCATCAGTTAAAACCTTTTTAATGAACTAGTTATCGATAATTCTGTTGAATTAATGGATTTAATCCTGTTTTTGTCCTTCGTTTGCAGGAACCGAAGTTTCAAGACCTGGTAAGCAAGGAACCGCGATAGAATTGAATGGCGGCGATGTACTTCTCGATGGTGAACATTTCCGGGAGAAACCACGTGAAGCCGTCACCATTGCTTTATGGTTAAAACTGTGGAGAACCAGTGGAGTGCACTCCATTTTTGATACAATCGGCGGGCATTCGATCCACAGCAAGGGACAGTATCACTTTGAGGTGTACGATGGAAGGTTGAGGTGGTTCCATCGTAATGAATACGCTAAGGAGGTTTTCAACGTTAGGACTTCGCCAGTTTTGCAGCCCAGTATATGGTACCATGTGGTTGGCACTTACGACTCCCTTAAGCACATGGCAAACGTCTTTCTGAACGGTGACTTGGTGGGAGAGGGTCGTGGCAGTGGTATGCTGTCCCTAGACTGGGAGTCTAAGGCCGGATTTGGCTCACATTCCGGGCGAAGGGTTTTACTCGGCTTCCTCGATGAGATTTATATCTTCAGACGGGCAGTTCTGGCGAAAGAAATTGAAAGATACTTGGAGAATTCTAATAGTGAACCGCTCCTTCATTCGGAATCCAACACTGTACTCACGGAGACTTTCACTGAAAGTCCTTCTGAGGATAGCTTTTCAGATGTTAATACTGACCCTGTTTGGTTTTCGAAACCAACCAGCCATTTAAGTAATCTTCCCAACCAGAGTCCTTCTAGCAACTACATGAACTTCATGGACCAGGACGAAATCCAAAGTGCTTCAACACTTGGCGCAACATCAGTTGTTGTCAGTGCTGCGAGAGCAAAATCAAGAACGAAAGAAACCACAAATATGCCAACAGTGACGTCGCCGCAAACGACAAAGACAACTACAGAGACAGCCACATTATCAACAACGCCGCCAACCACGTTGAAATCAACAACAATGATCAAAACGACTGCGTCACCTCATACAATAGACAGCACTGCACCAGAAAGACTGAAAACGATGTGCAAATTGGGAGACGTGTACAGAAATAGGGATCTTGTGGGTGGATTAGGCGCGGGAAATTTCACTGACAAAGGAAAGGTTGACAGCATTGAAGAGTGTATGAAAATTTGCTGTGGAATACAAGATTGCTCTGTAGGTTATATGGTGGAGAACAACTGCTTTGCCATAACTTGTACGGAAAAGGAGCAGTGTAAAACGTTTATAAAGAGTCTGTCGGAGAACAGCCCTGTCATTGGATTTGTGAAGCGAAGCGAACGAAAAGGTTAGTTAGCTCTTTGGAATTACAAACTATGTCTCAAAATATCGTGCCTAAAAATGAGCCATTTGCAATGTCCGTGCAGAGATCACTATAGAAGTAAAAACTTGGTTGCAATGAACATACTCTTTGTTGGTCTGTTTACTAAGAGCATGCAAGTGCTCCGATAAACCATTAAAAGGGACTGGGTATGCGAGGAAAGCATTTAGATAGTCTCCAGGCTGCTATTTTTAAGTTTGTTCTGATCGTAGTATGTCGTTAACTAGTACTGTGTGATGTAACTGCTATCATTAGCAAGTTTTCCTTACTTTATGTTATGGATGACATCTGCCATCCCTTTCGCTAGAATCAACTTCTCATCCTTCGCCGAAGGAGGAAAACGAAAAACCAACTTCTCCAGCTAGTGCTACACCTGTAGAACCAGAAGCAAAGTCATCGGACGCCCCACAAGGCGACAAAGAAGCTGCCTTCAACTTCACTGATATGTTATCAACTAGTAAACCCACTTAAAGTACGACATCTGATCATGCACTATCAAGCTGCACTTACAGCAGACTTTACCGCCACGTGACTTTAGTAGGCGGGCTTCGTGCTGGAATTTTTACACGGCTGGCTGAGAATACAGACATGGACGAATGCGCCCGGAAATGCTGCGCGCGAAGGTCATGTGATGCTGCGATCCACATGAGAGCAACATGCTTTGGATTGCAGTGTTCCAGTTCAAAGCTCTGTAGTACCAGGCCGTCACGTCTAAAGAACTTTTCTCTTCACATAATGTATATGTACAGAGGAGAAAGCAATGGTGAGTCTCGGATAAATGTGTTGTAATTTAGATATTCACTCGAAGTAAAATACTCTACAAGGGGGAAAATTGTTTTATCGGATTGCGCTAGCAGTAAAGTAAAATACTAACTTTTGATATAATTAAATTATTTGTAATTGTGAATTTCTAAGAGCCGCTGGCAGCAAATTAATTTGTATTTTCTTTCTTCTAAAGCTCGCACTAAACCAACAGAAACTTTCAAGACAACAGAACCATCTTTAGAAGACCTTCTCGGTGAAGTCAAACTCACGCAGTCTCCAACAACTAAGTCACCGCTGAACAACATGCTCGGTTTTCCTCGCATGGAAAACAATCATGTGACTAGTTCTGAGCCTTTATCTGAGTGCTCTCAAGGACTGATGGTCAACGATGTTATTTTAAATGGCGGGATGGGTGCTGGCGAGGTTTTTCAGTTTCCCCACGTGAATGACATACAGCTCTGTATCGAGAAATGTTGTTTGACAACAAAATGCCACTTGGCTTATGTCATACAAGAGGTTTGTTACACCGTAAATTGCTTCAGCCGTGATCTCTGTCGAACAAGACCTATCGAAGACACAATGGTACACTCAGTTATCGCTTACATCAAGAGAAATGGCTTAGCGATGTTCAGCAGCGCTGACGAAGCGAGCGTGGTGCAGCTTGGGAACGCGAGCATTGCTTTACCAGCACGTAAACCAAGTCCTACCGCTGGTGTAGTTGACGCTTCTCAGAACAGCATGATCTGCCAGCAAGACAGAACGTTTTACAACGTGCAGCTGAAAGGAGGTTGGAGCGCTGGTCGATTTACCGACAGAGGCCTGGTAATGGATATCAGTCAGTGTACGGGGATCTGCTGTGAGGACAGATCATGTGACCTGGCCTACACGGAGGATCAGCGGTGTTACACGGTGAAATGCAACAATCAAGACGCGTGCAAGCTTATCGAAGCCAGTCCTCTTGCGGTCAAGACTGCCTTGGCTTACGTCAGTAGGCTAAAAGACAAGGATGTTTTGCAAGGTAAGATATAAATTTAAATCCTTAAATATTTGTATGATTTACACAAGAATAGAGGACTTGTAATGCATACTTCAAGAGCGCAGGCGACAGGAAACGTTTGTTCATTTTCTCTCCACAGTAACTTCACGACCGACTGAGCCGACTGCGGCAAGGTTACAATCTACGGTTGTCAAGAATGTTAATGAACATGGTAGTCACCACAAAGAAGACGAAAAACAGGATGCCTCAAAACCATATCATGTCCTGAAACAGAACTTAGATAAACACAAACATCATCATCATCACCATTCCAATAAAGGTAGAATAGCAATGCTAAAAGAAATTCTTTCACAACTATTCTATTTCCAGAGAAAAGAATAAGCGGAAAACTAAGCTTAACAGTTCATTTATCGTTATTCGTTTTTTTCTTCTTGTTGCAGGTGAACAGAAGTGTCCCGCCAAAAGATACGGCTGCCAGCATCACTGTATTCATCTCCCAGATGGAGGTCACCGCTGCATGTGTCGCCATGGTTACAACTTGGCGCAAAATGGAAGACATTGCGAAGGTAAAGGCTACAAAAGACGTAGTTTTACCCGGATCCCATGTCCTTTGTTTTACTCTTTTGATCGTTGAAAATCAAACTTCAATTTCTTATTTAAATTAAGAGTAGAAAAATATAGAATATGGAATCCCCTTTTACATTATTTAAAATCAATTTAATGTGGGACTTGACGAGCGAACCGTTTTGTTGCTCCTACTGTAGCTTAATTTGACATAAAATGTTATTCCATGCATGTAAACTGCCCGTGTGTTGAGCGAGACGAAGTAAGAGTGGTAATCCATCTAATAATAAAATCTAATAAATAACGCAACGCAATTCGCATTTTGCACAGACGTGGACGAATGTACTGATAGTATGCATGGTTGTCAACACGAATGCGTTAATAACGACGGTGGTTATCGGTGCGAGTGCCGCAGTGGATTCATGCTGAACAAAGACTTGAAACATTGTGACGGTAAATAACTTTGGCTAACACGAAACTTGATTTAAAATCTAAGCTTGACGTTAGCATCTTAGAGATTGTTTAACCCATTTTATCCTGCGCGTGACCTCTTTTTGTTACAAAGAAAATTGCTAAAGCTTTCGGTGAAAACCAAGCGCTCAGCATCTTGGTTTTTGCTTGTTCCTTTGCCTGTCTATTCTGGTGTTGCAATAATATCCAATACCCTGGAACCGAGTGGTATGAAATCTGATAACCGCTTATTCTCGTTTTATTGCAAACAAAATCTAAACGAATCTTTGACAAAAATCTTGTTTTGTCTTAATTGTGCCATTGATAAATCGACCCCAGTTATCGGGTCCAAAATCGAAACCCATACATGGTGTTGATTGCTGCCTGTGAAAATTTTAGGCCTTAAGTGGTAGTCACAAAAAGTAGACGCTTTCGTTCGATGTTGAACATCACTCGAATTCCTTTATCTTCATGTTTAATACCTCTACCTTTAAAAGCTGCTTGGTCGTTTTAACTTATTCATGCTTCTTTATTTCTTATTCTAGACCTTGATGAATGCACCATGGGTGTCCACAGCTGTGAGCAGTCCTGCCTTAACACTCTTGGAAGCTACAGCTGCTCCTGTGAAGAAGGTTTTCAACTCCGAGCGGACAAACGAAACTGTATAGGTATGCTTATTGATCATTGGATATTTCCCATTACTCATTTCTCATTTCTCATTTCTCACTTCTCGCTACTTCTCACATCTCACTTCTCACTTCTCACTTCTCACTTCTCACCTCTCACTTCTCACTTCTCAATCTCACTTCTCACTTCTCACTTCTCATTCACTACTTCTCATTTTTCTTTTAATTAAAATGAATGAAGCTAATTTCTAACTAATTTTCTACTAGAAATCACTGAAATGGGATCCAAGAAAGATGAAGATCATCCCGCCTTCTCTGGACTAGAAAGTAAATAATAAGTTTTCCTTTAATCAACTTTTCAATTCAGATCCTTCTTATGTATAGCCAGTTTTAAAATTATTATTTGCCTTTTAATCCCTTAGTTCCAACAACGATAACTCAAGCACCAAAGGATCTCACAGTAACCCAGTTTAAATCTGGGATCTTTCACTGTAATGCGCGAGGTCACCCAGCCCCTCATATCGCCTGGGCATCAGGACCAAACGGCGACCAACCCATTCCTGCTGAAGATAGGTTCAGAATTCTACCCACCGGCTCATTGGTGATTCGTCATGTAAATTTCACTGATCAAGGGATGTACCGATGCGTGGCGTCCAACCCCGCTGGGAGTGCAACGGCTGCAGCAAGTCTTACTTTGAACGGTGAGAAAAAATGTCGCACTTTTATCGACTCAAATCTCTTATTGTGCGCCACCGTTTCATTTTTTGCTTGTTACTTTACTGTTTCTGTTTTTTAACTTTTTGATTAATTTGGCCGGGCCTAGTGGCAAAGCCCTTCCGCATTTTGCTTCAAGGCGCTTTGTCGTCCTTTTGAAGTTCACTGTTACATAAAAGTTGCTTCTCCCTTAGCAGGTTTCAGCTTAAACCTTTCTGAAATGGTCCCCTTTTTTTTTGTTTTTTTTTGCAAGGGAAACAAATTTTTTAAAACTAAGATAGGATACCATGTAATATTCTCAATTCATTTCAAATGTGTCATTTTCGTTCTGTAGACTTTGACGAATGCAAAGCCCACAGCCATGACTGTCAGCAGTCTTGTGTTAATACCCAAGGCAGCTTTAGATGTGAATGTCATTCTGGATTTATTTTACAAAGAGACAGAAAGAGTTGTGAAGGTATTGTGACGTTACACCTCTGGAATCAAAATTATATAAAGGTAATAGATGAAGTAAGTGGTATTATTAAAACCTGAAATATTTTGCATTCGCTTTCCTCTAGATGTCGACGAGTGTAATGTCGGAAGCCATTTTTGTGATGACCTTTGTCAGAATACCCAGGGTAGTTTCACCTGTCACTGCAGGTCAGGGTTCAGACTGATGGCGGACCTCAGAACTTGCTTAGGTATTACAACTGTTTCTGTATATTTTTTTTTTATCTTCATTTAAGTTATTTTCGCCTTTGCGTATTGCGGTTTCCACTGCAATGCGTGATCTGAAGTATTTCTACTCTCTTTGCTGGAATATTTTTGTGTGAACAATGGACTAGGTTGGTACTGTTCTAATTTGAGTTCGGTTGTTTTTTTTTTTTTTTTGTTTTTTTGTTTTTTGTTTTTTTTTTCTGCAGATATCGATGAATGCACAGAGCCTAGCCATGGCTGTTCTCAGCTGTGTAACAACACTCTTGGTAGTTACAACTGTTTCTGTTTGAAGGGTTATTGGCTGCAAAAGGACAACAAAACATGTGTTGGTAGGTTAAGTTCCAAAATCCGTAGCCATACTTTGCCTTGGGCTCGTTTGCTTGACTTTTTGAACCTCTGATAAGATTTATGAGTAAATTGATACATAGCTTTTTGACGAGGGTACAAGTTAATTATCAAATTAAACTCCCAAAATACAATTCTCTTCTACGAGCTTGTCGGTCGAACATGCATGGACATTGGCCACGAAGTTACTCAATTAAAGGGGTTGCTGTGTTTTATTATAAACTTTAATCTAGAGATCTTTGATCAAATTTTGTACAAAATTGGCTATAATTTACCAGTTTGTCGATGAATTCATGCCCGTTACTTCCCACATGTAGTTTACTTATTAGAAACGTTATCACTTTAAATTTATAAACAAACTTTTATCTTGAACTTCCGGAGAATCGTCCAAATTCTTCTAAAAGGCTGTTGTTGCTTCTTACTTTGGATATTAATATTTATGATAATTTTTTGTTTTAGATAAGTACGTTATGTTGGACAGTTCAAAACCAACCACGCTCTCAGCTGGTATGGGAGCGTTCGTTGCAGTCGCAGGCGTAAGCGTGTTAATCGTGATTGGTGCTGTGATGTGTGTTATACGCTACAGAAGGAGAGCGAGACTTAGAGGTCTTGAAATGGCAGAGGTAGGTGCAACTTGCTTTGGTTCTTGTTTTTCGTCTTTTTTTGTTGTTGTTGTTGTTTGTTGATAAGTTTTTTTTTTAATTTTATTTAATTTAATTTTTTTGCTTAGTTGTTGTAATTACGTAACGTAGACTATCTCTGCTCTTTTTTTAGGGTGAAAAGAAATCTTTGTTTTCCTGGTTGGAGTAACCCGGATTATTTCATGGACAATTCAGAGCTTTAAAATGTTCTGGTTCCTATTGAGGTGACGGGAGAAGATTGAAGAGTAGCGATCTATTTAATCGCAAGAGATAAGCTATTTTCATGAAATTAGAGTCTTTGTATCTATTTTTATACCGACTGTAAAGGTTTTTTAATAAACTGATTGAATACAAAGCGAAGACGTTACTGTGCACAGCGATAGAAAATTTTTTTTTTTTACTGTATATCATGAACTCAAGAAGCTCTCAAATGTTGTAAAGATAGCAATATTTATCATATTTTTTTCTCGTGCATCAACTTTTTTTGTACCACCATGTAACTATGTTTCTCGTTCACATTGTCACTTTTTTCCCTTTAATAATTAAAGAAAGCTTTTATCCATATACAGTGACTGAATGAGTTTAACTGATAACTTGATGTACCCTGGCACAGACTAACCCCTCGGTCACACTTGCGCTAGGATCATGCTTGCTTGGTAAAATTTTTGTTTCTCTAGCAAATTCCTAGCTTGTTATAAATGTGACCGACCAAACTTGGCAATGCTTATTTGCTTAAGAAAGAAGGCGGAGCTGCTTAAACTTCAAAAGAACCGCAGCTTAACCCAAGAGCAGTACGGAGTGCTCTTGGGCTGAGCTAGATAAACAATTGACCAATCAGGTGAAGCATTGTTTGACATCTCGATCCTTCCCAGATTATTTCGCGCATAAGCAAGTTCAGTGTTGAGCGTCGTTAAATATGTCAAGACCGACAAAAAATCGTCACCATTAACAAAAAACTGTTTGAAAAAATGCCATTTGCCAACCTGGTGCTTTGAAAGAACAAGTGTTGGCGTCTTCTTCGTCTTAAAGCCTTTTTTCTTCTCTCGCGTTCGCGGATAGTGCGAAGAAAGGTAAACAAAAAACAGGAGCATTGAGAATTGGTCCATATGAAACCGCGACAAAAATAAGCAGGCTGTTGTTCTTTCATGCTTGCTCCAATCTCTAGCCCGTGCTTGGGTTTGTCTGTCTGATGTCACAAGCAAGCATGCTTCAGAGTGATTTAGAGCGAGTGTAAACGAGGGGTAGGATTTGTTAAGTCGGTGGCAAAACACAGTGCTAAAAAGAAACACAAAACGATTTTATCTCCTTTAAATTTTATCTAGGCTTTGAACGATTCTCCCGGATAATTAGCAGGCGTCGAGCCATTATCTGCACGATTTAAAACGTTTCCCAGCCCCTTTCATGGTACATGATTTCTCGTCGTCCTTCTCATAAATTTGACAGGAGAGCCAACGTCAGTTTTGCCTTTATTTTTCCCTACTCACGCGTCACTCTCTCATCAACTTATTTATTATGCTAATTATAATCCTTGGCCTTTGTTGCTGAGAAGCAACAAAATGGAGTCAAGACAGTCTCGAACTTTGAATTCTCCCTTTGATCCGTCAAATCCAAATATCTCGTGAACCGTACTCATTTTTAATCCATCATGCAAATTCGTGTCTTTTTAGAAGTGTTTGGGAGAACTTGATATCATGTCGCCATAACGTCCACTTGCCATTGGTTTTTCTATTCTCGTCAGTTATTAGCTGGATAATTAATGAGAACTGCGAAAACTTAAATTTCTGTGCCTGGAGTCAAACGGCTCATGATGAAGAATGCGGTCAGTTACAAAGGATATTCGAGTCTTCATTGAAGCCGTGGTGGTAGACTGACGCGTCAAAGACAGTGTGCAACGAACTCGAATAGAAAGCACAATTTGTTTCCCAATTACTGATTACCAAAATAATTCATTAGCAAGCTGAAATTGATATAGGTAGTTAAACCATTCTAGCTAATTATCCGAGAGTCTGCTTCGTTAGCACCAAATCTCGCGTTATCAACAGTAATTTATTAAAATGTTATTCATTGTACCAACGTATTCTGTGCAATTCTATTCTGAAATGCTACATGGGACTGCAAAGAAGGCTGTAAGGTTCAAAGAATAAAGCGCTCTCAGATTGGAGTCAACCGGGTCTCATGTTTCTAGACTTACCGCACAATAACAGTGGCATCCCCGAATATTCTGACAGGCGGTATTGAGGGAACAGACCTGCTTCCCCTGAAGACCATGTGATCCACCACTTATTACCATGTGATCCCCCACCCCATTACCATTTGAACCCTCACCCCATTACCATGTAGTCCCCTACCCCATTACCGTGTGACCCCCCACCCCATTACCAGGCCAAAAACAATGACTGGTTCCTAAGTTCGTAGTGATGTACAAAAAAACCATATTCTAGAGCTCTCGAGGGCCTCAGTGGGGTTAACCGCTAGCCATAAAACGGCCAAAACATTTAGCTGTTAGGCGTAACAATTTACAAACTTTAACCTTTAGTCGTAAAAATATCAAATGTATTTTTTTTCTGGTGACTGCAAAGGAAAGACATTAAGCATTACCCGTAAATTAGCCAAAATTGTAACTGTTAGCCGCAAAAGCCATTAACTCATTGAGACTCTACCCCCCCGTGATGTGAGCTCCAATGAGATTCTTCCAAACGTGAGAGGTGTGGACTGAGTCGGAGTCACGTGAGGGGACACAAAAAGGAACGATGTTCTTCCCTCCCATCCCATTGTTCTTAATGTTTTGTTTCCTTTCGCCAAAAGGCTTCGCGTGACTCCTAGCTAAAATGGACAAAATGAATTGGTTTCTCAAGCGTCAAACCTAATACATGTTAGAGAAAAAGAAACTATCAGACTTTTCTTTTTTAATTTTTTTTTTTTTTTTGCTGACCTATGACTTAGAGGTAGACTGAAATCGGATATCCTAAGTGTTTTTCTGAGAAATACTTATTTGTTACAAGTAAAATTATTGTCTGGCTTCCAGATTGGAAAAATCCTTGTTAAGACCTTTAATTTAGCGATACTTTTGAGCTGGTATTTTGGAAGAAAAAATAAACAAAACGTAGACTTTTGTATATTTGCGTGAAACGACAAAAAGAGAAAACGATCATCAGTTAACCTCAGCCAAATATCATATGGTGAAATATAATTTTTTGTAGGCTATAATTATACCGCATGATATTGCCTTATGATGTATCTTTACTGACCAGTCCTCCTTTAAACCAGTACCTGCAAAAATTGTATTGAAAAGAGCTGTTACCATTAGTAACTTGAATTTTTGGGAAAAAAAAAAACATACAAAAAAACCGATATACAAAACGAGACTACAACAGTAGAAGGAACTGAGCATTTTATGACTCTGTGTTGTATTAAAAGTGAGGTTATGTTTGTGACCGACAAAGCCCGCCATCCGATTGGCTCGCCGGATTAAAATTGACAGGTTGCATATTTGACCTGCTAGGTCATCAGTCAACATTTGCTATTGCTCTCACTGGCTCTTTTTGCCAAAACATTTCTTCGCTATTTGGTCTTTCTTGATCCGTGTGCGATCAGATTTCAAAGAGTTTTTATTCGGTGTTTTTATGTAATTCAGTAGTCATGTTAAATCCCTTCTGTGGTCGAAAAACCAGAGACGATATATGGTTGATGCTTTCGGCCATCTTGATAACTCTTGCAACAGGTAAGCAGAAATTTATCTCTTGATTGACTTGCTTCTTCGGAATCAAGAATTCATCGTTTACAAAATAAAATAAGTGTGCCTTAGAAGACGCTATCGAGCACTTTATCAAGGCTCAAGTAATGAGAGGTCTTTCTGCGAACAATTTTAAAAATCCGCTGAAAGGCTTCACAATATACGGTTTTTTAATCTTACCACCAGTTTTAACAGAGTGTCACTTGCTCAGCGGAGCTTGACCATAAGAAAAATATTGACTGAAGATCAACTGAAATATAATACTTCGTGGGTTTGTTTTCGTCAAAAACTTGGCTAGATAAAAGTTTGCTAAGCGAGCCCTTGTTGCTTTACAAACTTGAAGTTTACTAAAGAGATCTATATTTGTCATTCTGTTATATTCGTATTTGTTCACGGCAAATTGAAAAGTTGAAACGATGCTTCTATCGTTATAGTACGCTTTTAGATAAATCAATTGAGCAAGAAATTTCTTAGAGACTTAAAAATAAAATGGTACTCGTATGTTCACAAAATGTACTGCGCTATCCACTGGATATAGATTTATCCAGTGGACAGCATTATCCATCCTTTGAACAACTAGGGCCAGGGGGGCATCCCTCACAACTTTTAACAATAATTCCTTCTCTAATTACTGATAAAAAATTTTCAAACATCTTTGGCAGCATTAGGTCACACGATCCTAGAAGAATACAACTGTGGACAAGAAGACATTGAGTACAATGTAACCCTCAGAGGTGGTCAGTTTGCTGGGATTTTCAAGGACCGTGGACCGGTGAAGAATATGCAGGAATGCATGCATTTATGCTGCAATACAAAGAAGTGTGACGTGGCCATGATGCACGGGCCGAAATGTTTTAGCGTACATTGTTTGAATGACACAACATGCGAAACAATTCCAGCGGATGATGAAGATATCGACATGCAAGTTGCGCACATGACTACAAAAGGAACTGGACAACTGAGTGAGTTTTTAGAAAATGCTAAATTTTAAACTCAGTAATAAAGTAGAAAAAGATATTTTTTGTCTTAGCAAGGGCTTAGGCTAAATAAAAAAAAGTAGTACCCATGAGGAATCTAACTCAAGACACTTGGATTCCGAATGCTTTGGGCCAGTGAGACTCTATAGACTACTGGGCCTTAACAACTATGAATAGTGTGGAAATGGGCGTAAACTTGTTATAATTAATGGTGCGAGCAAACAGGCAAGAGGTTAACTTGCCATGGGACAAACCGCCCATAACCCCAAAAAGACTGTATTATTGATGTGAGATTTTGGTTATTTCTTTCTGCAAGCAGTGAGTCCTTTTCTCAGTTTGAAAACAGGTCTACGTTATTCTTAACTTCTGCAGCCGAAGCACCGGTGAGCGACAATCTTAACAGCTATGACCCTGAAGCGAAATGTCCGCACAACGAGATCATGTACAACGTGAAGCTAATGGGTGGATTGAAAGCAGGAAAATTCACAGACATCGGAAAGGTTAAGAGTATAAAGACTTGTATCAGGTAAATGAAAATTAAAATTAGATGCTGCATTTACATTTAATAGTAACATGTACATTTTGTGTGTATTTTTTAAAGTCGTTAGTCCCTACTTGATTTGTTTTTATTGGCTTCTTGTCACTTAAAAGTTGTTCTCGAGATGACCTGAAATTTTGTGGAATTTTCGTTTAAAAAAACTTTATTGAAAAGTGATTGAAAAACTTTCTCTGGCTTATATCTTGTGCTAAACCAAGATTAAATTCCTTTACACCTTACTCGAATTTGGACATCGGTACCACACTGAAAAGAAAATGTGTTAAAGAAACAGGTTGTAAAGTATGAACTTATTTTAATTTTATTTGCTCGAAGATATTGCTGCGAGTCCAAAGTGCAGCCATGTGACCTAGCTTTTATGCTAAGCGATCGCTGTTATCTGGTGAAATGCTACTCAGAGGAGAGGTGTCAGGCGATTCCTGCCGCCGCTATTGATCATTCATTTAAGCAGAAAATGGCTTTTGTAGCGCCATGGTTATATCAAAAGGGAAAGAAAGTTGGTAAGTGAAAGAAGTAGCGCAGGCAGTCAAAGCATACCATTGTTTTCTCACAAAATCTAATCAGATGCAGCTTTTGATGACTCCATACTCTGCTTCACTCAGTGAAAATTCCATCTAGCCAGTCTCCACATCACTTACAATGCGTTCAAAGCAGACGCTACACAAAATCCCGACTTCTCGACGGCCCAAACGCTGGGCTCTTCACTGACGTTGGCCGGGTGGCAAACCCTCAAATATGTACCCGCTTGTGCTGCGAGAATCCTTCTTGTGACTTAGCCTACATGTTTGGCCGTACGTGTTTCCTTGTAAAGTGCTTCAGTGAAAGAAGCTGTCGCACCATTCCCGACGAAGACGCTTGGCGTAATGATACTAATTTGGACAGAACCACCCAATACATTGTAACACGAAAGTTTGGTGTAAAACTAAGAGATGGTAAGGGATATTAAACAACTTAAGATTGTATATTTCAGTCTGAAGATGAAGCGGGGAGAAATCAATTGTTAATCTTATGAACAAAAACTCTAAAAAATTCCAACCAGTAGCCTCGCAAAACAGTTGCTTGCTCAAAACAAACCTGGCTCCTCAACAGAAAGTATTCAAATTCTATTGTAGTTGTTTAAGCTCTTCCTTGCTTTCTGCCGATCGGCAGGTGTGGCAATTAATGAACTTAACCCGGGCAAAAGATGAAAAACTTTGACCATATTGGGTATTAAAATTGTTTCAAGTATTTACGTTAGCGGCCCAGTAAAAAAAAAAAAAAATTATAATCAAAAAACAGAGTAGCTCAACTGAGATGTTTGGAAATAGTAGATTAGCTGCTTGGAGTGATTGAGAACTTTCTGTTATAATCCAGTGTCGAAATTTTAACCCTGCGCAGTCCATGTAAACTCAATTTTTTAATTCCTGTTTCAGAATTCAAGCAACCAAGTAACTCGTAAAAATTTTGAAGACATAATTATTTCTGACTTCATTGTAAGAGTTTATCGGCCGAAATGAAGTGCGCTTTGTTGCTGAAGCTCTCAGTGTTCTGTCCTTAACCAAGGATAAATTTATGTTTCACAGCAAGCAACAAATTATTTTTCTTCTCATATTTTTATTACTTTTACAGACGGAACTCCCGTTATACGAACCGAAACAAACCAAGAAGAGGTTTGTCGCTTGGATGGCGACATTAGAAACAAGACGATACTCCAGGCTGGCATGGTATCTGGTAAACTGACTCATCACAAAGGTGTTACAGACATTAACTCATGCATAAAGCGATGCTGTGAGCATGAGAAGTGTCACGTGGCTATGATGATGGCGGATAAGTGCTACACGGTGTTTTGTACTAATAGGCAGTATTGCCAGCCTAAGCCAGCTCCGGTAGAGACACACCATACGAACCCTACAGTGGCCTATGTCAAGAGGGGAGAGATAAGCTTTGGTAATGTTTACCTTACAATGGAGCTGTTTTAAATCAATTGTTTCAACACAAACCAAAGTTATCACAAAAACCATCAGAACGAAGGGTAGTCTTCATAAGCCAATGAGTATACAAGGTGACGAAAGAGAAACGTCTCGAAGCAATCACAATTGATTTAAGTTTGCAGGCAAAAGGTCAGAGGAGTGACATGAGTTTTCCGGACCAATCACAGAGCTAAGTGAAACAAAAGCAAACCATGTCGCACTTCTTTCGATATTCGATTTAAAATGGTTTTTCCAACATAGTTAGCTGCTTTTAGACACAGAGATCCATTAAACTAGGAGTAAACTTGTTACATGTTGCGGAGTCTTCTGGGTCTTTCAAGGGGCTACTGCCCACATTGACAGAAAAATGTGACATGCATTTTTTATCAACTTGCCTCTCTTATCATTGTCTTTTTTTTTTACAACAAATCCTGCAGCTCCTAAACCGAGATCGGTGATGCCAAAAATTGAAAGATTCCACCCTTACTTAGTGCAAGATGTCCAAGAAGAATATCTTGAAGCAGATGATAATAATTTCAAAGGCAGTATCGACGTGAATGCGAGCCAACGAAGCAGTTTGCCGAATATCCCAAGTAAAGATGCTGAAGCAGAAACGTCTGGGAGTGGAGACATCGAGGAAGTCGAGGAGTATCATAGTGGAAGTGGAGACCGCGACATTAATGATGGTAGTGGTGGCAGCGGTGACCAAAGCGGGTCTGGAGACAATGCAGAGCAGGTTGAAGAAAGTGGAGAAGAGTCCAGCAGTGAGAGCGGAGCTGAAGAGAACGAGGCTGAAGGCAGCGGAGAGGATAGTGGAGCAGAAGATAGCGGGGCCGGAGATAGCGGTGCTGAGGATAGTGGAGCGAGCGGAGAGGAAGAAGATAGCGGAGATAGTGGGGATGAAGAAAGTGGTGATGAAGACGAGGATAGAGAAGATGAGGTTCAAGGACTGGCCCAGCTAAGGAACACTCAGAGCCTCAAAGGTGTCCTTTGATGATCATTACAAAAGTAGATCTGTAGTTTTATTGGAATGAAATAATGTTTCGTATAGGAGTTTCATTTTTTGTCTTATGTTAAGAAGTCGTGTGTCAGACTACTTAAGTAGGGGTGCATTTTTCGTGTTGAAACCTTCTCGCAAGGCCTTCCTCTACCATACGTTTGATAGATAATTTGGCCTTTGTGTTGTTTTCCACTGCTTCCCTCGCGAGAGTGAGGGAAGCAGTGGAAAACAACGTTTGAGCGAGGAAAGTAAATAAGATCTACCTTACACTTTCACAGACGGCATTGACAACAAAATTTATATTCATGGAAGACACCATGTAATCTCCGATCACCACAGATTTTGCCTTTTTTCTCAGTGGAGTGAATTTTTCTCTTTTTTAAAGGTCTCTGTTAAAACGTGATTCTGAAAGCTTACTTAGCTTTTCTCAAAAGGCTTTGAACTGGGTTAATATGTACAAATGTGTAATTTCACAAATTGAAGCCCGCTGTAAATTCTTTGTCCTTATAAAAATATATCATACTGTAGCTTTCTAATCTATTTAAAAATCCACGAAAAATAATGTTTTATAATGGAAGTTAAGAGTGTGAATAAACGAGACTAGTTTTGTAGATATTCTAAACTCTTTCTCACTCTTCTCTTTAACAGGGATGTTGTTGTATGCAAAATAAAATTAGGTAGATATTTGCATGAGTCAGTAACACTGAAAGTAACCTCCAACTATCTACTGGTCTCACTAAGTTCTCTCTTTTTGATATCGCTGTTAGATGTGTTGAAAACCCGACCGGAAGTCATCATCACAGTCACGTGATTCACTTCCATCACGTTGGTAAAACTACCGTTACTACAGCTAACAACAGTCCCTTTCACGACTACAATAGACCGGAGAGTCAGTATACCCGATTAACTGTAAATCCTGCGTCCAGATATTCATGCAATAATGTGGAGTTTTATGAAGATTTTTTTTATGTTCTATTTTGTGTCCTTATTTTCACTTGTTCCCACAAATTGCTCCACTAAATTCAGTTTCAAATCGATCACCTTACCATATACGAACACTCTTAAGCGAACGTGTCTACTGCAATTTTAAAACCATTGCAGAGTAATTTGTAAGTGGAGCCTGATTTTGGGCTGGGCTAATTCGTCCATTATAGTATATCACCAAAGTCACATTTCTCTTAGTTCAGGGTAACTTCATTTAGGTAATGCATGACATTCATTCGCTGTTCTCAGAAAAATTCGTCCGAGGCAGCCATCCATGGTAGAATTCTATCACAAGAGCCACTTGGCTAGCCAAGCGAGCTGGATGTCCATTCGGTTCAATGAATTTAAAGGGAAGTTCTTGCGTATTACTTCATGGTTCAGAAATGACTGTTACGGTCCTTAACTTTCGCTAATTGTCTTGTTAAATGACAAGCAGTGAATATCTCTAAGGAGTTATTCGAATGGAAAATCCAACCACACTAAATCAATTTGAAAACTTTAGGAATAAAGAGCATCAATCGAGCTTATGCATAACTTGTGCTGCAATTGACTGAAACAAAGCCACAATCAACGTCATTGAGGGCCAACTATGGTTCTTCAGTAATTGATTCAGGTACATATGGATATATATTATTTTGAATTTGCATGTGCTGTTTGCAAAGTATAGAATTATAAACCCCAAATGAAAAGACGGCGTATAATGGTAGTTTCATACTTTACCTCGATCAACAAAGAAAACAATTGCGCAATAATATATTTTACTGAAGAGGAAAACATGTCATGAAATTACAAAACTAAGCAACGAAGAAAACGAACGTTTTTCGATCTTTTAACGTATATATACTTGTGTCTGGGACTCGTATCTGCGAGATAAATACAACAATACATATATTTTTTTAGAAATCTTGTTGTCTAGTACCTTTGAGTATTTTTTCAAGTTGTACCGTATTCGACGAGCCCGTGGGGCGTGTCAAAATACAAACAACGAGTAAAAATAGTCAGGGATACTACACAACAAAACGTCTCATAAGAGATTTATCATCCAACACTCCAAATTGTTATTTCAGTGCTGGAGAATTTCGCGGATATTTGTGGAGTACAGATATCGTGTGATATTTGTACTCGCCTCGCGCGTTTTTTGTAATCTACGACTGAAGCACAGTTGGATTAAGGCCTCCCCTCCCAGTTGGAGCCCAAAAAGCACAACAAATCAGGTTTGAACACAGCTATGTTTCGGAAAACCAAAATGATAAAGAAACAAGAACAAAAACAGAACTTGAGAGAAAGCAAATTCAGCTAAGCCAAAGTATAGTGACTCTGGTGGCGTCTTTTTTTTCTTGTCTGTCACACAAGACAACCTTCACCATATGCTTTCTTACTGTAACACGAAATTGGATTTAAGACTTAAAGACTTAAATAAACTTAGCGTGTACTGCGTATTACAACCCTTTTCGACGATATTTCGATAAGATTTTCAAAATTAAATAAAATAAAAAGACTCATTCATTTGTTAAAAGAAAAATTAAAAGGAAAAAAAACTTAAAGGAGAAAAAATTAGAACGTTGATTGAAAACATGAAGATTTGTTTTTATTTCTACTGTGCCAAACAAAAACAGGTATTTTGGGGTACCAGTCAATTCCTCCCAATACTCGACCAAGAAATTCCTCTCTTATGACGATATTCTTGTACATAAAGAATATCGCGGCGGATTTTACACTTCTAGGTCACGTGAAAATAACTCGGTGCGTGATTGGTTAAAATTTGAAACCTCGATGATGTAATCGTATTCTATTGTTCGGCGGGATCGAGTTCTTTCCTCGATAACAAAAGAATACAACTTTACTATGGCAAAAACTTAAAAAAAGCCGGTTCAATTGATTCGTATTTTATTTTATACAGCTATTTTTTCTAGGATCTTTTTTTATAAATACAGAAATTGGAATGATGTTACAATGTGACTAAGATTCAAGGCTGGGATGCTGGGAAGAAATATGAACAGTGGAGTACTGCTCACTTGGTTATGTGTTCTCTGCGGAGGTAAGTTAACTTGAAGAAAATCATTTTTCGAACTTTTCTAGTTGTGTGTGCATGAAGTGCTGTTCCACTAACCCTTATTCGTGTGTGAATCTAGTAAAGAGCTCCTCAGACTACCTACAAAACTGTAAGAACACCAAAATCGAGGAGAATGTCACTCTCAAAGGTGGTATAGGAGCGGGAACATTTCGAAAGCTTGGTAAAGTTACCAGCATGGAGTCTTGTATTGAACTGTGTTGCAAAACTGCGACTTGTGATGTTGCCTTCCTCTCGGCGTCTAAGTGCTATGGAGTCGAATGCGTGAGTGATGACGAGTGCAAGGCTACAGCTACTGATACTTCTGATATTAAGGTGCTCATAGCACACGTGCGAACGGGCCATAAGAAAGGTTAGTGCACGGCCAGTTGATATGGCGGAGATAAATAAGCTGTTGTGAGAATCTGTGAAGGAACTTGGTTTTAGTCGCAGTAAGCCTTATTCCGTAAAATACAGTCCGTTATTTTACATTTTGATCGATACGTGCGGCGTAAATGAAAGGAAATAGATTGTTTGAAACTGACGTGGCGTTGAATCAGGGCACTTGTTCAAGAATTCTCGCTTTTAAAGCTTTCCTCACAAAATAACTTTATTCTATGTCAAATTCTTTACGGACTCTGCAGCGTTATTGTACATTTGAGGACTGATTTTGCGCTTGGGATAGATTTCAGTGGAGCGAGCAATGATTTTTCCGGCGATTACACTCATTAATCTTTGATCGGCTTTAGAATTGAAAGCCTGCAAAGTAGCTAGCCACCCGGAAAGAAAGAATGGGGAAAGCAGGTTGTAAGCGAAAGGGACAGCGGGAATTTCTACATACCTTTTCTCCTTTTTAATCAGATTTTACTATGACAGTTTACTTCTAATTTGTTATTTATTACGAATTACGGCTAAATTTTTAGGCCAAAAGAAGTATGGTATTTCAAATCTCTTGATAAACAATTGGCGACAGCAAAAAAAAAAACACTTATTAGGAAAGTCACTCCAATAAATTGCAAAACAGCATTAGAGAAAAAATATATTAAAGCATGAATTTCCCCAGGCGATTGAAAAACTATTGAACGCTTTTATGAAAGTGTTAGTTACTTAAGAATAGTATTTTTTTTTTCTGATATCCTGTAATATATGTCAACTATTTTAAGCCTTCATGCACACACAGCCGAATGCCTGAGGTTAAACATACAGAGTGGTAAATTAACGTAAATCTCACCACTGCGGTTTTAATTTACTTAGCTATTGTTATTTCAAGTTAATTGCGGTCCATTGTGTTAACCGAATGATAAATAAGAGTTTATGGCGAGCTTAAGTGTACAGCAAGGAAAAAAGGCTCTTGACAGTCCAGTGTATTTGAATTTTTTTTTTTTTCATATGCCCTTGAGCACTCATTCGTCGCACTGCAGCGATTGCAAATTCAAGCTGACAATCAAAAAGGCCATGAATAGTCTAACCATTGAGAAACTCTTTCATTAGATCAGCAAGCCTATAGACCCACGAGGTCCATTTCTGACTTATTTGAGTGCTGCAGTTTTATTCCTTTTGAACATAATTTGAAAGTAACGTATTTGTGCACGATCCTCGCAGTAAGGAGCACTATTTAAGCAATAGTGAAAATCATTCCTGAAAAACTTCAGGCCTGTACGGGATTCGAACCACTGGCCTCTGCGATACTAGTGCAGCGCTCTACCAATTGAGCTATGTGAGGATCGTGCACAAATACGTTTCTATAACCGCAGTTCGGATATATGAGTTTCATATATTCGTTGTGTTTGATTTATCATCTTACGGGTTTACGTAGGGCTGCTCCCAGTTGGCTTGTTAGCTCAATTGGTAGAGCGCTGCACTAGTATCGCAGAGGTCAGTGGTTCGAATCCCGTACAGGCGTGAATTTTTTCAGGTCTAATTTTCACTACTGCTTAAATAGTGCTCTTTACTGCGAGGATCGTGCATAAAATATGTTTCTATAAACGCAGTTCAGATATATGAATTCCATGTATTCGTTGTGTATAATTTGAAAGTCTCATCTAAGTTATTGTACTCAATATTCTCCGCTAGTTTGATGCTTCGGCGGTATGCTATTATATTCAGTCTTTCCCTTTACAGAGGGTCTTCATGGGGTGATGGCTCTTACGGCTAACAGTTTGATTTCTTTCCTTTGCAATTAGAAGAAAAATGATACAGTTAACTCAGTTTTAAAGGTTAAATGTGTCCATTTTTATGCCTAAAAGCTAAATTAATTTGCCGTATTACGGTTGGCGTTTAATCCGTTTGGTCAGTGTGTTGAACAAACACTGATTCCGTTTTCTCTGATTTAAAATAAACTCACCAGCTCTATTCACAAATGTTAGACAAACGATTATGATTATGTCATTAACAATATTTTGACAGAATTTCTCTTTGATTCTTTTCAGATAACACATCATTAGCTTTTATCACTCCCAATTTCACATCAAATGTTAAACCACATCCAAATGGTTTCTTGGGCCCAAATCAGGCAGGGCCATCTGCTGACACGCCAAAGGGCCTCATTGCACAGGGACAAAAACCGTCGAACAATGTGAACCCCTCTATGGCTGGGCAATGCCAGCCGGGAAAAGTTTTCAAGGAAGTGACTTTAAAAGGAGGCATTAATGCTGGTACATACAAAGATGTTGGCTCTGTGAAAAGCATGGAGGAATGTTCTGGTAAATGCTGTGAATTCGCTGCGTGTGATTTGGCATTTATGCTTTCAAGTAGATGTTATCTTGTTGGATGTTCAGAAGGAAAAAACTGTCAGATACAAAAAGCAAAGCCTTCTCCGTACCATCCATCTGTGACTTATATTGAAAGATGGAACAAGGAGGGCGTGAAACACTCAGGTATGTAGAATCCTCGACAAAACCGCGAATTGAATGGTATTTGAGCAAAATAGAGCAAGAAAAAGGATAAAAATTTGGTTGATAAAAGAAAGATGTTTTTCTTGTCTTGACACGAGCCCAGGACAAACACACATGTACTCCCATGAGGAATCGATTCGGATTTCGCATTTCGATGCTCTGCACAGGGCTACAAAGAGGTCTGTCTAACTTCAATGAAATAAATCACGTTTTGACCTGAAAGTGACTTACAATTGAAAACAAAAATTGTATTAATAATCCCTGCGGGTAGACTGCAATTAAATATCTTGCCGAAAAAATCCCGATAATTCAGGATTCATCAGCATTCGACGGGATTCGAACCTGTTTCTCTATGGCTAGCTAGGCTGTTAATACGTAGTGCCCAGTAAAGGTAATAAGTATTAATAATATAATTTTATGCAGTTTCATAATACTACATCATTTTAAACACTTTTATGACACTTCAAGGTATATTTAGTTATCCTTTCTTACGTGACTGACCTGTAAACTAGCTTTATATAGCTATTTGTCGGCCACATTAATAAAGTATAGATGTATGTTAGCTTTGGATCGTAAATGATTAATCAGCTTAAGGCGGGTCACTACTTTTGCACCCAGTTTGTTTGTTTTTTTTTTGCCATAGATAATCTCTCTTTTGAGTTTTTGAAACAACTCTTACATTGAACCTCACAAGTAGCATGTGATCGCTGATTAAATATTTTTATTTTGCGTGATATTTAGTTTTTCTTGGCGACTCGGTCGAAACCAAATTCACATGCCCTACGGTAAAACCGTTGACCAAGGTGACATTAAAAGGTGGACTCAAGGCTGGAGACTTCACGGACACAGGCAAAGTTGGAAGCATAAAGGAATGTTATGAGACTTGCTGCCAGCATTCTACATGTAACCTGGCCTTTATGCTTGGTCAAAATTGCTTCTCGGTCAAATGTTATAGTAAAGACTTGTGCAGCACAATCCCTGCGCAGCCTTCCATCTTTAATCCACAAATCGCTTACGTTTGGAGCAGAAATGAAATGAAAAATGGTAAGTCGACTTAGTTATAGGGATGAGCCTTTAAATACTCCTAACTTCTAAATGGCATGCATTTCGCATATTAGTGAAACCACGATATTCCTTTAAAACAGGCAAATACACTAATTGCTGCATCTATTCAAAACTTGATATTTTCTTTTTGTTCCAGACTCACCCAAAAACAAAATACTGAAACCTCAGCTGGTTTGCCCAGCTGGGAAAGTTTTAGACAGCGTAACTCTTGTCGGTGGAATTAAATCTGGCTACTTCCGCGATCAAGGAAAAGTTAAAGATATGGATAAATGCCGTCGAATCTGCTGCGAGATGCCGCACTGTCATCTGGCCTTCATGCTGTCTTCAAACTGCTTTTCAGTAGCATGCAAAAGCGCTGATGCATGTAAGACTCAGGGGGCTAATCCATCGAGATACAACCCTAAAATATCATATGTAAGGGATTTTAAGACAAACGCATTGCTAGGTAAGAATAATTACTTGTAATTTCCTGTAAACTGTGAAAATGATTCCTATCTTTAAGTCTCCAACTGATCTGACAACTTGTGAATTCAGGCTCAAAAAGTCCTGGACAAGTTGCTTAGACATAAAAACCCAGTGTGCAGAACTATTGTTAAAGTGGAGCATTATTCAAAAACCTTTTCAGTGAAGACCCTTGTCTTCTCAGGAACATGTCCCGTTGTTTGTAATTTCCTGAAAAGAGGAACATTTCCACTCAGTAACTAGTGAGCTCTTGAAGCAAACAAAACATAGGCGTAGCAGAATGAAATCAAATTAGGTAAGCTGAGGCAAGCAAATAAAGTGAGATAAGAAATTCAGGGAGACAACACGCTCTTTACAGCCACACTGGCTGATTTGTTAAAAGAGAGTGTTTGTAATTCTGTTGTTTTGGGCTGAAGTTATAAATTTTATCTTTCAAGGGGCTTGTTCTCTTTTACTCTGGCTCCAGCTTCTTGGCAACATGGCTGACAGGGATTTCGAAGGCCAAAAACTACGATAATTATAAAGCGGTATTTCTAAGGTATGAAGCTCACATTAATAGCACTAATATAGGCTGTCAACTCTTTTTCAGGAGTCCCCAAGGTGACAGAAACACAAACAAAACAGACCATCCCGGGATTGACACAAACTCCATTGGTGCAACTGACCACGCCAGGACAGGCACCCCAGATCCCTGGATTGAGCGGACCAGCGGCAGATGTGACACAAATGGCTCAGTTCTCGCAGACTCAAATGCAAGGAGAGAACCCTGTTCCCGGGCTACAGCAGCTGCCACAACCATTGGCACCACCTCCGCTTCCTCCATCTCCATTCGGGTCCAGCCCACCCGTCGAACAGAATCCTATGATGCCACAACCAGGGATTTCACTTGGCAACAATGCAGGTATGTTAGAAATGTGTCATCAGTGCCAAATGCTGGGCTAACAACGTGCGAAAAAAATCACTTTGAGGAAAATGTGCTTTCAGTTTCCTAAGGGAAAGATTATCAATTATGTGTTTGTTTTTGAATAACGTAGTGATGAAGACGGAACGCAAAGAAAAACAGGGAAAAGGATACGATATAATGTCTCTGGTGTATAAAGCAAAATGTACCAACGTGTATGGCAAATTGCTTATTTAATACAAAATTAGTAAGACACATTTGGGTGTAAATAACTTTGTGGAAACTGACCTGATGGCAGATGTCGTGGATGTAGAACCCAAGGATACCAAAATAGAATATACTTAGGGTCTCAAAAAGGACCTCGGAAATGTTAAAATGATATTTTGTGGCATTTTTTATGCAGCCATGCAGCTTCCGATTCCTCCCATAATACCGGCAGAGAAGATACCACCGGTGGTTCCACAAACATCCGCCGAAAATCAGCCGATCGCAAATCAGCAGGAGACCAAGAAAATTGAGATTCCGGATGCGCAGACCGATCTAAGCCTTAAAAGTCAGATCAAGTCAGCTGCAGCTGGTCAAGCTATGAAAATGAATATCGTAAACGGGAAATTTGAATTGACACCCGTCGGAGGTTCCAATGTATCCGAAGATGACTCCGGCAAAACATCGGATATTTCGCATTCTTCGGAATCGAAAGGCGAAGCAAAAAGCGAGCCAAGTAAAAAAGCTTGCGAGAGGGCGACGGTGCACAAAAATGTAACTCTAAAGGGTGGGAAGAAGGCTGGAAAGTTTAACAACCATGGTGATGTGAAAGGAATGGAAGAATGCCAAGATATATGCTGCAAGGATGAAAAGTGTCATGTGGCATTTATGCTCGGCGAGACCTGCTATTCTGTAGCTTGTAAAAGTAAAGAACTCTGTGAACATTCAAAAGCTCCCCCAACAGATTACAATCCTCAGCTTTCTTATGTGAGACCAATGAAAACTTCGGATAAAAAAGGTAGGTTAATTTGTTAAATTTTCGACCTGACGCAGGAATTGTTAAAAAAAATCGAATGTGCTACTGGGAGTTGCTCGATAGCAAAGGTAATAATCTCTTGGTCGGGGCATTTCCCTTTATATCGGCGTTCTCGGTTTTTATGATCCCTGGATGTCTGTCGTGG